GGAATTTTCTAGCTGCATCAAATATGGTTGGGGCGAGTGATAACGATGAAGTTATTATGCGCACCTGGTAAACACAAATTTTTGATTAGCGTAATTTAAATATTACTTAGAGGACAGAAGCGATGGTTGTTTTTGATGAAGTTAAGCACTGAAAAGTGTACCCTTGACAGTGCTGACACACACATAGCCATATATACATATGTATGTATAAATGCAGACATATTTGAAGGTACATACTTTAATGTAGATGTTATCGTTATGGTAACGGTAATAGTAGTAATGGTTATGTAATGGCAATAGTAAATGAAATGGTAAGGTTATAGGTACTGGTACTGATACCGGTTTGATTATGGTAATTGTAATAGTAATAGTAAAGATTAAGATAATGGTAGTGCTGATGGTAGTGGTAATGGTAATATTAGTGATAATAGTAACGGTAATTGTTATAGAAATGATAATAGTAATGGTAATGGTTATAGTACTAGGTACCGGGTACTAATAGTGTCTGTGTCATTATGATAATGGTAATAGTACCTGTATAATTATAATAATGGTAATGGTTATGGTGATGGTAATTAAAATTGTGTTGGTAATGGTAATGACACGGGTACTGGGAATTACAATGGTAATGTTCATGGTAAATTGTCATGGTAAGGTGATGGTAGTGGTAATGATAATAGTAACGATAATGGTGTTGATAATGATATGTAATGGTATTTTGTTAATTAACATATAGCTCTTGCAATTTCAAAGTTATTATCATTTAATTCTTCTGACGTATTCGGCTTTCATATTTGGCGGGGCGCTGTGGTGTAGTGGTAAGCAGTGCGCGCTTCCACTCCGCAGAGCCTGGGTTCAAGCCCTGGTCAAAGCAACATCACAAAAAAAAATATAGAAAAAAGTTTTTTTCTTAACAGCAGTCGCCCTTCGGCAGGCAATGGCAAACCTCCGAGTGTATTTCTGCCATGAAAAACAGCTTCTCATAAAAATACAATCGCCGTTCGGAGTCGGCGTAAAACTTTAGGTCCTTCGCCTGTGTGTGACAACATCAAGGCGCGCGCCAATCTATTATTATTATTATTATTTTATTATCATTATTATTATTATTCGGCTTTTATTAGTTTTTTTTTTGTTTAATTTATTCATGAATTATTTCACATCTGGACATCATCTACTTGCATACGTTTTTAGTCCGGTATTTATGCGTGCATATCATCATTTGTAAATATGTATTAGTGTGCATCCACAACCGTAACAGCCTCCCTTGTTCACCATGCTTTATGCGCAATTAGCAACTTGTTGCATTTCAGAAGAACCTACAGCACGTGCCACCAAGCAACATGTTAACGCAACATTATCCATGTGTCGCTTAGCAACAAATAAACGTAATGTTGATGGTAATTGAATGTTGACACGGCTAAGCTCCATCATTCACCACTTGTACTGGCTTGCCATTCGAGTGCTTTGTCGTGCGTCGCCCGAAGCAGTTGATCTTTCGTCACTGTATTACGAACAGGGTTGCCACTGACGAAACAAAAAATTTACCATCCACTTGAGAAAAATCTACCAAATTTGGAAAATATCTACCAATAAATTGTTTATAGTTATTTTAATAAAAACTATATTTTTGTTATTTTTTTATTTATTTTAATTAAAACTATAGTTTTTTATTTTTTTAGTTATTTCAATAAGAATTAAAATTGTTTTAAGGAACTTTTTATTTAATAATTATACCGAAAGCGGAAGTGATAAAACTAAAGGCAACAACGAACTTCATAAAAACTTCAACTTTGAAAAACTTCAACTCGAGTTATTATAGACAAATACAGTGACTCAAAAAGGCACTTGGTGATTTTTTTTATTACTCGCAATCTTTTTCAAGAACAAATTTTTTATTATTTTAACTAAATCCATAAAAATTAAAGATTCAAACTATATACATTAGACCGCATAACTCCCATACAAAAAAAATCGGTACTATTTTTCCATTGGAATTATAAAATCTATTTTATTTTAAGACCTCCACCAAAATATTTCGGAAAAATATTAAGATTTAAGTGAGCTGGACCGATTTGAAAATACCTCCAAAAATGGAGTTTTTTATGAATAAAAATAGTTTCTTAAAGATTTTTTTTTGAAAAAATCCCCTCAAATGACAAAACGGTTTAAGCTTAAAATATTTGCATACAAAATATTAAAAAAAATTAAAAAAAAAATTTTGAACGGGATCGTAATGATGAGATTTTTGATGCTGTTTTTTAATTTTTTTCAAAGATTGGCTTAAGAAAAACTGGAATAACTGAAGCTAAACTCCTCCGATTTAGACTTAAGAGGTGTCATTGGAAAGGTATTTTCTCACCCGTTTTATTTCTTTGCTAATAAACTCATTCAAAGGATGGAAGAGAAAGGTAGGATGAACGAACGTCATTCAAAGTCAGTGTTGCCACTTGAAAATATTTTTAAGTACCAAAATGCCTACCAAATCAGTTTCCAAACTACCAAAATTTTGTTCATCATTAAAGCTAGACTTCTTGAATTTACGGGGTTTTTAACTACAAAAATTAACAGTAAAAATTAAAACTACACATATTATTGTTAACAGGGCCTATAAATAAAAGAATTGACGTATTGTATAAAAACTTTTGTAAAAAATTTAAATACCTTTGAGATTAATTCCATTCATATCAAACATCTTTTCTTTGTGTGTGAAAAAACAAAATCACACATTTATGCAAAAAATCCTAAATTCGTTTCACTTTGCAAATTGGCTATCATAAATTTTTCTTTCAAGACTACTATTTCTGGTTCTATTTCAACAGCCAATCGGTCATAGCTTTGGGAAGTGAGTTTTTGTTTGCAGAAAATTGTCTGCTTAATAAAATATAGGAAAAAAACTAAGAAATCTTATACGTGTGAGCAAAGTGAAAGCAATGTTTTGAACGTGTAAACGTAAATTAAGCGAACAAATTTTAATGCTCAATTTGGTTGTTTTTTCAAAAAAATTTTGCCTATCAAAAGGTTCATCAAACCAACCAAGCTACCAAAGGAGAATGAACCTACCAATTTTGGTCCAATCGGACCAAAACGGCAACGCTGTTCAAAGTTGAACTAAAATGTGTTGGTATTCGAAAAAACAAGATGGGACACGAATGACGTTTTTTTGGCCAGTAATAAAAACAATGTGAAAATACCTTTCTACTGAGATCCCATAAGTCTAAATCAGAACATTTTTGGCCCAGTTATTCAAGTTTTTCGTAAACCAATCTTTGAAAAAAGTAAAAAAAACAGCATCAAAAATCTCATTCTTACGATTCCGTTGAAAAGATTTTCAAATATTTTTATGCAGATTTTTTAAGCTTAATCTAATTTGTCATCTAAGGGGACTTTTTTCAAAAAGTTCTTTGAGAAGCTACTTTTATTCACAAAAAACTTAATTTTTGGAGGTATTTTCAAATCGGTCCAGCTCGCTTAAATCTTAATATTTTTCCGAAATAGTTTGTTGGACGTCTTAAAATATAATAAATTATGTAATCCCGGTGGAAAAACCGCAAGTTTTTTTGGCAATGCAGTCTAATATACATACAACATTTAGAAAAATTAAAAAAAATTTCGTCCAAATTTCTAATTTTTTACTCTGAAATTTTAGAACAATTTAAGGTACCGAGTTTTAAAACAAATAATACTTGAGCATAGCTCACAAATGGGCTTCCCGTTTTTTTGTCGCCAGTCTTTTGTGTTTTTTTTGTTTTTATTTAACAATTTCTATTGATAAAAAATGGCGTTGATTTAATTTTTTTGTGAACAATCATAGTGTGTCATTACATGACCGTAAATTTTTTCTTTATATTTATGTATTTAAATAATCATTTAAAATATGTAAGCAATCAAAAGCTCCTCGGGATTCCAGTAAAATGAGTTTTGCATGGAGCACGATATGTTCGCCTTATATCGATACACATTTATACTTATATAAGTATATAAAAAGTATGCAAAGAAATTTATAATATAAAGATAACTACGAAAAATAAATCGGGAACGAAAAGTTCAACAAAAATCTACCAAAATGAGAAAAAATTTACCTTTTTACCAACCCAAATTATTTCTACCAATTTTGGTAACATTTTACCAAAGTGGCAACCGTGATTACGAATAAAAGTCGCTAAGATACAAAACTTTAATATAGCAAAAAAACAGCAAAAATACGTAAACAAAAACAAAAAAAGCGCAGCCTAAACATCAAAATGACTGCCGGTCTTTCCGGTGTTGCTCTCGAAATACTAGTCTGCAATCAAACGCAAGCCATTCAAGTTCATTTCATTTCTTCTAACGGCAACATTTCACTTCAACGCTGATACGCCAGTGTGTCTGACTGTTTTAAGGGCGCCAAAAGCCAATGTTATTATGGTCGTTGTGCTTGGTTAGCTACCCTCGAGTTGTTGAGTCGTCGAGTCATTCATCGTGCGCGACTTTCGGTCCTTTCAATGTTGCCGGCAAAGCCCAGTATATAATGAACAATAAACGGCAATGAGTAGTTAATCGTTTTTTAATCGAGCGCGAGTGCGTACGTACGATATCCGTTGTGCATATTTAGTATTGTAGCAGCGGCTGTGAGTGTGTGTCGAAAACATATTTACTTAGTAACACTTTTGCATTGCTAGAGTTCGAGGTGGCGCGCAGCGGGAGCACTACGCGCAATTTTGACGCGTAAATTTTCACCTGCTTGCATCTGGCAGCTTTATAGCCGTTTTTTCTTCATTATTTGAGCTGTGTGCTTATACGAAAAAAGTGTTTTTTTTTGAGTGGGTGTCAATATTTGCGAATTTAATTTGTGTAAACATTTGGACCGACACCGTCAATTCTCACGGTCGTGCGCGCCAATGCAAATGCGGACAATTCTACCAAATTGGCTTTGATGCTGCGCTGTGATTTTGGATTAAAAAGAAATTGCCATACAAAAAAAAAATAATAATAATTATAAAAAAAGGTAATGCGTTGAGTGAATTGATATTGTAAATGTTGCGCTTTATTGCTTTCTCTTTACTGCTGCTTTGTGCGGGATGGTAGATTTTTATAGCTAAACATTTCCTCTTTTAATGCCGTTGGTTATTAGCTTACTGTGTAGTAAATAGTACGTAGTGACCTTCTCAAAAGAAAACTCTTGGAAGGCACTTAAGTGCACATAAGTGTATTGTACTTTCGAGTACCCTTGAACTTATAGAAAGTAAATTTGTCTTAAAAAGAATTTCTTTTAAAGTTTGAAACAATTTAAAGGCCACAGCTATTTTCCGGTGAGTCATAAAGTTATTAGCTCTTTTACTGCTACATATGTATGTATGTATAAGTTAACAATATAAACAGTAAAGGTATTTTGGCAATCGCTACGCTAAATTTACATCGCTAAAATACGCAAAATACAAAGTAGTGTAGCCTAAAGGTATGCAGCATTTTACTTACATATGCAATTTGTCAAAAATAAGTAAAGTGGGAATTTTAATGCTCTCACCTCTTCTTGTCTTCTAAAATTAAAAAATTATTTAGAGGGCGCTTAAAGCGCTCAAAGGTTTTCTGCTTTTTTATAGCTATTTTTTGCTCTGAAAACTCTCTTTCTCTTCAGCACATTTCCGATAATAATACCCAATCGTTTATTTAACAATTTTTTAATAGTAACTATTTTTAATAGGTTCCCCAAAAACCCCAAAAAATGAAATGGAGGGACTCATATATCGTTGGTATTAAAAAATGGTAAAATTAAGAATTGAGGATTATTAATGGAAGTGTCCTGAAAAGAAACAGAATTTTCCTATCGAAAATATTGATTTTCAAGAAATAAATAAGTATTAATAAAATGGTAAAATAAAAAATTGCGTATTATTATTGGAAGTCTCCCGAAGAGAAAAAGAGTTTTTTGATCAAAAAATATTGATTTTCAAGAATTCTATACCATTTCCACGAAAAATTGATTTTTCTCCGAATATAATGAGCGAACTCTAAATATTTTTTGATTATTTGTTTGTCGGTATAGAAAAAATTAAGGCGAATTAATATAAGGGGATGGCAGGAGTACAAAACCAAAATTTACAGGTATTTCGTTGTTGTTTTGGCAGCATAAACTGTCAAAATCTGTAATAGTGTGCGTGGAAATTCAAACTAAATTTTTCAATTTGACATTAGATCTTGTAAGACCATCTTGTATAAATTCGCCTTGGACAAAAATCCTATGGGTGAGAGCATTAAAATTGAGGCGTTACTTTTTTCGCATGCATTATTAGACCACCCTAATGTTTAATAAGCCAAATATGCCAGTATGAGCGCATGTCAGTAGATGCCTGCTGTTCTTTTGGAGATTCATGGCGATCCAAATTAGCGATAGCAATTTTTAGAATTCCACTGCAGAACTATCAATTTACTATTTCTGTACAACTTTAAATAGAGCAACGTTTATGCCTTAAGGATCCCTTGTAAAGACGACATAACTGTTCTTAATATTCAATCTTCTTATCAGGGTTAGAACTCCAGGAAGTCTAAATAGGAGTAAATGCCATGAAAAATCGGATCAAAACATAAAAGTCCGTAGTAGATTTTTTATTATAGTTCCTTTGCTGAAAAAAAATCATAATCCAAAGAAATTTTTTTATTTAAGTATTAAAAAAATGGCACTCCAAGCAATTCTTAAAAATCATTTTTTTATTATATTTTATGTTATTTCATAAAAATATTTCAGGTTGATTAAATATTTAAGAGTTTATTAAAAAAAAAAATATACCACAACAGCTATAATAACATTAAGAAAAAGCACAAATTTAAAGTTATGAATAGGGATGGGCAATTAATCGATTAAATAATTGTTTAGTCAATCATAATCCCGATTAATCAAAAAACGTGATTATTCAGATTTTCATTAATCAGATCCTGAAAAATTACTGCTTACTCATAAAAAATGAATGAATTCTATGTGAATTTGCAATATATTTGGTGTTTTAATGGTAATAATAAATAAACAATACGTAAAATATGCATTTTTAATTTAAGTTATTCGTCATTTCCTGGAACAAATCTAGAGTACCGACCGTTCAGCTATGCAAATCGAAAAATGCAGATCAATAGAACCTTTTACGCTTATTTTAGCCATGCCAAAATTATTTGGCGCAAGTAAAAAATAAAGACGAACGTTCTAAAAGATTAAATTTAAATTTTTCGACTTTTTAAATATTAATATCTTATGAACTACATAACCGATTTAAAACTTTTCTATATTTTTAAACAAAAACCACTAAAACACGAACAAATCTTATTTTTTCGTAAAATAACCTTTAAGAAAATGCGTAATTAATAGTAAAGAATTTTATACTATTTAGAAATTCGATATAGTACATATTTTATCATGACCTCTTTTGTCTTTCAAGAATTTAGTGATAATAAAAAATATAAATAAACAAAGCAAA